CTTACATTGTGACTAAACCATCCCTGAGTCGTCAGTCAGTTACTTTATGATTCACGAAATCGTAATGACACGATTGTAAACAAACCATACCACGGGCGGGCATAGAACCCGCGATCAGAGTCATAAAGCTCCATAAAACTTTATTCTGGTTTTGCTGAGTATTCACAGATGGATTTGACATGTTCTCCAAACCAAGATCAAAAGAGTTCACTAATAAGGTTTCCGAACGCCGTTGTCGGATCAGCCAGCCTAAATACGCTGTCAACGTCGTAAGATTGATGTGATCCTCCGCAGATATCTTCGGTGTAATGTTCACTCCAGGATTCTTTTCTTTCGACGATGGATGTAACTTTCTCCCTCTCGATCTGCACTCCATCTTTATCCCTCGCACTCCTTCCCAGAATAGCATGTCCCTGCACTTATTCCGATTGAAACCTAGAAGGCACTTGTTTGAGAGCCCCTGCAGCCCGAATACAGCTCCCGGAGGCTTTCTGGATCCTTTACCATTCTTAAAGGTTTCAAATCGTCTGTAGAAGGAGAAAAAATAAACGCATAAGCAGTATAATATGATCTTTTATTGACAACGTTTCGGCCACTGCAGTGGATAAGTTATGGGCCAACCTACCCAACATTCTCCACCTGACTTCATCCTATAAATACTCACGTACCTTTCACCCAGATAGATCTGTTTGTGACTTGATAAAGCCCACTGTGTGGGCGAAACGTTGTCAATAATTGATCACATTATACTGCTTATGTGTTTATTTTTCCATTGTGTCTGTATTTTATACCATTTATTTCCACAGTAGAAGGAGACACAGTATTCAGTCCCACATGTCTCAAAATTACCTCTATATTTCTTCCTTCGTCTCCAGATAACATTTCCTGTATTGGACTGAAAAAGACGGTTGTTGGCGATACGAATCATCAGTAAAGATACCCAGGTGTTGCACATGTGTCTTATTCATCAACTTATCGGTATCATATACCATTAGGGCAATGATAGTCGCTTTCCAGTTACCTAGAAGTCTTCTCTATCGCCTGCAACACCTGGGTGGGACAATAGCGTACCTGTGCTGCTATTATAGGGCTGGGTATCGAGTCTTCACCGTTCCTTGGACTGAGTGACACACGCATTTAAAAAATGAAAATTAAGAGAATATCTTATTCCATCACTTCCCTACTCTCTCTCTCTCTCTCTCTTCTCTCTCTCTTCTCCCTCTCCCCTCTCTCTCTCTCTCTCTCTCTCTCTCTCCTCTCTCTCTCTTCTCTCTCCTCTCTCTCTCTCTCTCTCTCTCTCTCTCTCTCTCTCTCTCTCTCTCTCTCTCTCTCCCTTTTCCAGCACACGTGATTGATCGTCCATACTTATCACTGCTAGCCAAATATTGCCTAAATTTTTGAGTGAAAAGAAGGCATGGAAATCCTATCAAAGCTTGCTCGCTCAACGGAGTCTCTTCCTATATTGCATTGCTATCCTGTTGGAGTCCTGTTTTCTCTGCAACGGTTTCAACGGAGTCTCTTCCTACACTGTACTGAAATTCTGGTGGCGTTCTGTGTTTCTAGCAATTCTGTGTGTGTGTTAGTTACCATTTTGTCCTAGGCACATGTCGATTAGACACTAGGCCTGTTGTATGTGCATGCGTGTGTGTGTGTGTGTGTGTTAGTTACCATTTGGTCCTAGGCACATGTCGATTAGACACTAGACCTGTTGTATGTGCATGCGTGTGTGTGTGTGTGTGTGTGTGTGTGTGTGTGTGTGTGTGTGTGTGTTAGTTACCATTTGGTCCTAGGCACATGTCGATTAGACACTAGGCCTGTTGTATGTGCATGCGTGTGTGTGTGTGTGTGTGTGGGGGTGTGTGTGTGTGTGTGTGTGTGGGGTGGGGTGTGTGGGTTTGTTACCATTTGGTCCTAGGCACATGTCGATTAGACACTAGGCCTGTTGCATATGCGTGTGTGTGTGTCTGTGTGTGTGTGTGTGTGTGTCTGTCTGTCTGTGCTGTGTGTGTGTGTGTGTGTGTTAGTTACCATTTGGTCCTAGGCACATGTCGATTAGACACTAGGCCTGTTGTATGTGCATGCGTGTATGTGTGTGTGTGTGTGTGTGTGTGTGTGTGTGTGTGTGTGTGTGTGTGTGTGTGTGTGTGTGTACTCACCTGATTCACCAAATTGTAGTTGCAGGGGTCGAGTCATAGCTCCTAGCCCCGCCTCTTCACTGGTCGCTACTTGGTCACTCTCCCTCAGCTCCACGAGCTTTATCATACCTCTTCTTAAAGCTATGTATGGTAACTGCCTCCACTGCCTCACTCTCTACTACTCTCCTTGTACTTGTGTGTGTGTGTGTGTGTGTGTGTGTGTGTGTGTGTGTGTGTGTTGTGTGTGTGTGTGTGTTTGTGTGGCTTTTATCACAAGACAAGTCTTTCATTTAAGTCCTGTTCTCTGAGATTCTTAGATTCCTACTCCTCCAACATTCTTAAAGTCCTGTTCTCTGAGATTCTTAGATTCCTACTCCTCCAACATTCTTAAAGTCCTGTTCTCTGAGATTCTTAGATTCCTACTCCTCCAACATTCTTAAAGTCCTGTTCTCTGAGATTCTTAGATTCCTACTCCTCCCAACATTCTTAAAGTCCTGTTCTCTGAGATTCTTAGATTCCTACTCCTCCAAACATTCTTAAAGTCCTGTTCTCTGAGATTCTTAGATTCCTACTCCTCCAACATTCTAAAGTCTGTTCTCTGAGATTCTTAGATTCTACTCCTCCAACATTCTTAAAGTCCTGTTCTCTGAGATTCTTAGATTCCTACTCCTCCAACATTCTTAAAGTCCTGTTCTCTAAGAATAATCTCAGTGATCAAAATTATAATCTCTTGTTTTATCTCAGCGTAGCTCAAGGTGCGAGGTTCAACAACTTGTTTTAATTGTTAAATACTTGGTAAATACTCAGAGAAGTGTTTTAGCAATTAAGAAACATTCGTGTTTTATCAGGGATTATTTTAATCCTTCAGCATTATGAATTCTCCAGTATTTATCTGCAAACGAGAAGCATTAATAATAGGTGGAATTTTTTGTCATACTTTTTGTTATATTTTATTGTTTAAATAAATTCTTGTATTATCAATATTTTTATTTTTTTATTTCAATAACTTATAAATAAAGATTTTTATTAACAGTCTTTTTACCTCCTATGTTCTCCAAAACAGTGAGTCAGTATAAACAATGGCGAATTATTATTATTTAGTTAATAAATGTCAAGATATCAGCTAATGTTTGGCGAATAAATGTTGCTGTTTGAGTTAAATCATAAAACAAAATGGAGGAACACTGCAGTGCGCCTACTGGCCCATGCTAGGCTAGTCTAACCACACACCCTCCAACCTATTTTTAAAGCTAACTAAAGTTCTCACGTTTCCTGGCAGTTTGTTACACTCGTCCACAACTCTATTGCTAAACCACTACCTACCTATATTCATTCTGAACCCAAATTTGTCCAACTTGGATATCTCGCTGCTACTAGTGCCTTGGGTACACGTTGTCAACACGCTATGGATATCTCTTTTGTTTATGCATCATTTCACTTGTACACTTAAGTCATATCTCCCATATTCTTTGCCTTTCCAAAGAGGGAAAGTTCAGTGTTTTTAGCCTGTTTTCGTAGGAAAAGTTTCCTATACATATGGAATCGAGTTTTCTTCCAGTTCATTCAAGTTCATTCTTCAATATTGAGACCAAAATTGAGCAGCGTAATTTAAATAAGGCCCTTAACAAGGATATATAAATTTGAGTATAACCTAAAGACATATATTATTTGTAATAATGAACCCTTACCCAGGATCAAGACATGAAAAACGTGTGTCCAGACTGGCAGAGCCTCGGATAAAGAGAAGAAATTTTAGGGAGTGTACTGATAAAAGACTATATCATGGAGACATATTTGAGGTGCCAAGGAGCAGCACTGCAATGAGTGCACATTACCCTGTACAGCAAGGTGATATATGGTAACACTGTGGTGACTGCACACTGCAATGTACAGTGGGACGGACGCTGGGTAAGGCACTATAGTGGAACGCAGTGCCAAAGGCGGAACTATCAAGTATGTCTCCAGGCAAGAGTGCCAGGTGATCGTTTTTTTCTATGAATTATATAGTACACATTGGGAGGTGTTGCATTATTCTTGGGTTGTTTGATGTCTTGGTAAAGAATGGTGCCCAGGGAAGCACTAAACTGGCACCAGAAATGGGTAAAATGCGGTTTGTGGGGGGATGAATTGATCAGAATAGACATTCTATGATCATGGGGTAGATGAAGAACGAGAGAATGAGAAAGACTACAAGGGACAGATGAGTAGGTAAATATAAATACTTATATATAAGTATATATATATATATATATATATATTATATATATATATAATATATATATATATATTATATAAAATATATATATATATATATATATATATATATATAAAATATATAAAATATATATATCCCTGCTGGAAGTTGAAAGTTTATCCTTCTCTAATTTGCATAACACGTTTACGAGGGCTGCAGCTCATAAAATATTTAATTATTTTGTTACTCTCTTGGCGACATGCACCCTGTGTGTTTATATGGAGTGGTGTAACATTGTGTGTTTATATGGAGTGGTGTAACATTGTGTGTTTATATGGAGTGGTGTAACATTGTGTGTTTATATGGAGTGGTGTAACATTGTGTGTTTATATGGAGTGGAGCCACACACATTGTGTTTATGCAAAGTGTGGGCAAGCTCCTGAGTTGTTAATTTATTCAGACCACCCCCTCACCACTCACCAACACACCTTTTCCCCACACACCATCTCCCACACACCATCCCCCCACACTATCCCCCACACGCCATCCCCCCACACACCATCCCCCACACACTATCCCCCACACACTATCCCCTACATACTATCCCCCACACACCATCCCCCACAACCTCCGCCTTACACATCCACTAATCCTAGTCTGTAACATTTCAGGGTGAGCGAGAGAGATGGTGGCTGGTTGGAGCAATTTACTTCGCTGGGTTGGCGTCATAGCGAGGCGCTGAGGACCCTGAGGGCCCAGGGGCGCCAGGGGTCAAGAGACGTAGCCCCTGAGGCCCTAGCATCACTCAGGAAAAGTGAGCGACGCCTCAGCAAAGCAGAGGTCAGTGTTTTTCCACTGTTTTAAAAGTATAACGCATGTGCAACACTTCTTAAAAGTTCTGTCAACACACAAGTCTTCTTCAAACGAAGACAAAAGAGGCAGCAGACTGAAGATTCCCACTGTATAGGCGAAACGTTTCGGAAGATACCTAGCTGTTACACATGCGTCATACTTACCAACTTGTCGTTATTATAGTCCAGTGGTTCCCAAACTGGGGGTAAATTACCCCCTGGGGGTAATTTAACCATTTTTGGGGGGTAATGGAGGGGTGACAGAAAAAAAGTTATGAATTCTGAAAATCAAGAAAACAATGCGGTACCCGGTATGAGTATTATTGTTAACTTTGTCTTAGTATATAAAGTTGTAAAGTAAACCTATTATAAGTAAGTAATAAAGTTAAACCAAATAACAATAAACATCAAAAACTAATATACAGTATTAGAAAAGAAGAAATATATAGCTAAGTGTGTGGAAACCCAAAAGTATTTTGACAAGTATGCTTCAGGACAAAAGTCACTCAGTAGCCCAGACGACCGTCCCAGTACGCGTCACTCACTTCCTGAGGCTGCCTCAAATTTCACACTGTCAGTTTATCTGTGAGCACAGCCGAGGTAGACATAAGCTGGTATGTATGTGTACTGCCCTGTGCAGTATATAGTTAGTATTTACCCACTGTTACTGTGAATTTGTAGCTATTATTAATTTTATATATAATGTATGTGTGGTTCTTACGTTTTCAATGGTTTTGCTAGGATAAGCAGAGTATGCGAGGCTGTATACGTTCACGTTTAGCCATATATATCAATAATAACAACATTTTGTGAAAGGGGTAACATGCTTTATGTGGCATGTTAAATTGGGTAACAAGCTGAAAAAGTTTGGGAACCACTGTTATAGTCCATTATCATATCCTCACCCACCTGTTTGTAGCTCAATAATTTTTAAAGAAAATCGAAAAAATAGAACTAATTTTACCTTACAAACTTTTTTTAAAGTTCAAAGAGTCAATAACCTGGCGATACATAATTTAGTTCATAAATAAATCATGAGATTGAGTGAAGGTAGTGGAATGTGGCTTTATATATCCGTAGATTTTATTATTATGTAGATTTTATTGTTAGGAGATAGTTAAACTTGGGTTGCGTTCACCGTAGACTTTATTACGATGCCATTCAAGCTTGGACTTTTATGTCTGTAGATTTTTATTGTGTGTGTGTGTGTGTGTGTGTGTGTGTGTGTGTGTGTGTGGTGGTGTGTGTGTGTGTTGTGTGTGTGTGTGTGTGTGTGTGTTGTGAGTGGTGTGTGTGTGTGTGTGTGTGTGTGTGTGTGTGTGTGGGGTTTGGGGGACGGGTATTGAAATTCGGGTAAGCGGGTCCGTAGAATTTCACGACTTACATCGCCCGCTGCCATGTATTCAGGGATTATAAATATTATTCTCTCTCTCTCTCCCATCCACCTCCTCTATTTTCTTCTTCCCCCCCTCACCTCCCTTCGTCCCTCCGTCTCTCCCCTTTCCTCCCTCCCTTCCCCTCTCTCCCTTCCCCCCCTCCCTCCATCTTTTTCATGATCACACTGTTTTACATGCACTGAGTTAAGCTTCGCCACAAAGGCTCAGTTTTCAAAGAGGTGCATTATATATTCCCCCCCCCCTCCTTCCCCCGCGACGCCTTCCCTCACTACCCCTCCCTCTCCATACCTCCATCGCTTCCCCCTCCTCCTCGACAGGCTCCATCACTCACTCGACCCCCTCCTTCTGGACACCTCATTTTTTTCCTCTCCTTCTCCATTTCGTTATTTTTCCTTCCCTCTAGTCTTCCCAAATGCCTTCGCCCACCTCTACCCTTACAATAATAATAATAAATAATAAAAATAATAATAATAATAAAATTTAAAAATAAAAAATAATAAAATAATAATAATAATAATAAAAAATAATAATAATAATTATTATTATTATTATTATTATTATTATTAAATTATTATTATTATTATTATATTTTTTTATTACTATTATTATTATTATTATTATTATTATTATTATTATTTTTATTATTATTATTTATTATTATTTTTATTATTATTATTATTATTATTACTACTACTACTACTATACTATTATTATTATTCTTATTGTAAAGTTATCACACTCCCCAATAATAATGTCTTGTAATATTCTATGCAAAGAAAGCGAGTCAAATCTTTTCATTACCACAGGTGTGAGAGGATGTAAACACAGCTGATGGTAGTAAACACAGCTGATGGTAGTAAACACAGCTGATGGTAGTAAACACACTGTGGTAGTAAACACAGATGATGATAGTAAACACAGCTGATGGTAGTAAACACAGCTGATGGTAGTAAACACAGCTGATGGTAGTAAACACAGCTGATGGTAGTAAACACAGCTAATGGTAGTAAACACAGCTGATGGTAGAAAACACAGCTGATGGTAGTAAACACAGCTGATGGTAGTAATCACAGCTGATGGTAGTAAACACAGCTGATGGTAGTAAACACAGCTGATGGTAGTAAACACAGCTGATGGTAGTAAACACAGCTGATGGTAGTAAACACAGCTGATGGTAGTAAAACACAGCTGATGGTAGTAAACACAGCTGATGGTAGTAATCACAGCTGATGGTAGTAAACACAGCTGATGGTAGTAAACACAGCTGATGGTAGTAAACACAGCTGATGGTAGTAAACACAGCTGATGGTAGTAAACACAGCTGATGGCAGTAAACTCTTAAGTAATGACAAATCAATCTTAAGTAATGATACACGTCCATTAAATATGCAGTTAAAAGTAATTAATTGCAGATTCTATGGATCTATTAAAACTGACTTTTAAGATTTAAAATAGCACTTGCAAATGATCTCATTTTCTGGTTTCATTAATTATGGATATACCTAAATGCTTATAATTATATATTCATGCTGCCTTAAAGGGGGTATATTTAAAAGGATTATCAGGAATGAATATCCCTGGAAGAATATTAAACGAGTTTTAAACTTTCTGATAGATTTATAAGTTGTGTGTGTGGAGGGGTGTTTGTGTGTGTGGTGGGGTGTTTGTGTGTGTGGGGGTGTTTGTGTGTGTGAGGGTGTTTGTGTGTGTGGGGGTGTTTGTGTGTGTGTGGAAGGTGTTTGTGTGTGGGGGTGTCTGTGCGTGTGGGGGTGTTTGTGTGTGTGGGGGTGTTCGTGTGTGTGTGGGGGTGTTTGTGTGTGTGGAGGGTGTGTTCGTGTGTGTGGGGGGTGTTTGTGTGTGTGGGGTGTTTGTGTGTGTGGGAGGTGTTTGTGTGTGTAGGGGGGTGTTTGTGTGTGGAGGGGTGTTGTGTGTGTGGGGTGTCTGTGTGGTGCGGGTGTTTGTGTGTGTGGGGGGGTGTTCGTGTGTGTGGGGGCGTTCGTGTGTGGGGGGTGTTTGTATGTGTGGGGGGGTGTTTGTGTGTGTGTGGGGGTGTTTGTGTGTGGGGGTGTTTGTGTGTGTGGAGTGTTTGTGTGTGTGGGGATGTGTTTGTGTGTGTGTGTGTGGTGGGTGTTCGTGTGTACGGGTGTTTGTGTGTGTGGGGGTGTTTGTGTGTACATGTGGGGTGTTTGTGTGTGAGGGGTGTTTGTGTGTTTGTGAGGGGGGTTTGTGGTGTTTGTGAGGGGGCGTTTGTGTGTGTGTGTGTGTGAGGAGGTGTTTGTGTGTGGGGGGTGTTTGTGTGTGTGTGTGTGAGGTGTATTTGTGTGTATGTGGGGGTGTTTGTGTGTGTGTGTGAGGGGTGTTTGTGTGGGGGTGTTTGTGTGTGGGGGTGTTTGTGTGTGTGTGTGTGAGGGGGTGTTTGTGTGTGTGGGTGTTCGTGTGTGTGTGGGGGTGTTCGTGTGTGTGGGGGGTGTTTTGTGTGTGTGTGGGGGGGTGTTTGTGTGTGTGTGGGGGTGTTCGTGTGTGGGGGTGTTTGTATGTGTGGGGTGTTTGTGTGTGGGGGTGTTTGTGCGTGTGTGTGTGGGTGTTCGTGTGTGGGTGTGTGTTTGTATGCGTTTGTGGGGGTTGTTTGTGTGTGTGGGGGTGTTTCTATGTGATGTGAGGGGTGTTGTGTGTTTGTGAGGGGGTGCTTGTGTGTTTGTGAGGGGGTGTTTGTGTGTTTGTGAGGGGGTGTTTGTGTGTTTGTGAGGGGTGTTTTTGTGTGTGGAGGGGTGCTTGTGGGTGGGGGTGTTTGTTGTGTGTGTGTGAGGTGTATTTGTGTGTATGTGGGGGTGTTTGTGTGTGTGTGTGAGGGGGTGTTTGTGTGTAGGGGTGTTTGTGTGAGTGTGTGTGTGTGTGTGAGGGGGTGTTGGCGTGGTGGGTGTTTGTGTGTGTGTGTGTGTGCGAGGGGATGTTGGTGTGTGGGGGTGTTTGTGTGGTGTGTGTGTGGTGTGTGAGGGGTGCTGGTGTGTGGGGTGTTTGCTTGTTTTGTGTGTGTGTGTGTATGTGTGTGTGTATTTGTGTGTGTATGTGTGTGAGTGTGTGTGTGTGTGTGTGTGTGTGTGTGTGTGTGTGTGTGTGTGTGTGTGTGTGTGTGTGTGTGTGTACTCACCTATATGCGGTTGTGGAGGTCGAGTCTTTGTTCCTGGTTCCGTCTCTTAACTTGCTTCTCGCCAGATTCACTTTCTATTAGCATCGTTGGCCTTGTCGTACCCAGTCTCAAAACTATGCAAGGAGTCTGCCTCCACCATGACAGCACAAATAAAACTGGGTTGTTTTAACTGTCGTATTAATATTAAACCATGAAAACGTGAAGACAATTTTTGTGTACTATATAATAAATCACTTGTGTTACCTGTAGACATCAGACTAAACCTCTCTCTCTCTCTCTCTCTCTCTCTCTCTCTCTCTCTCTCTCTCTCTCTCTCTCTCTCTCTCTCTCTCTCTCTCTCTCTCTCTCTCTCTGTCTATCTATCTATCTATCTTCTGTCTATCTATGTTTTCTTTTCTCTCTTTCTCTTTCTCTCTCATCATTAGATAAGTCTGCTTTCAGAAT